CTCCACAACGCCCCGCTACTACGAGGATGAGTACCTGTACGAGCGAAGGAAGTGAACGTGAGAGCCGAAGCAGCTGCTGTTCCAGCTGACCAGCTGAGCAGCCCAATGTAAACAGTCTTGTCGTTCCACGCCTTGTATGAGTTACCCCCTAGGCTTAAGCTGCGCCCACTTATCATGTATATTCTATAACAACTATATAGTCCCAAAATTTAGCGCGAGTTTTATGTACCTTATTTGTAATATTTAATGTCCTGCTAGAAGAATCCGCCTTCTAACTCATTTCGATAATAAAGTACGCAACGTTTTAAGTTAAGCATCTTCATTGTATATCAATTTCCATGTATTGATCTGCATTGGAGAGCTGCATGGCTTGGCTTTTGGTGCCCTCCTCCACGACATAGTTGGGTCCGACCAGACAGTTATTTAGCACCGAGCCACTTTTCACATGCGCACGATGTCCAATGATGCAGTTGTTGATATTGCAGCCTTCATCCACAATCGCATTGGCCATGATGATCGAGTTGGTTACAATATTCTTCGGACTCACAACACAATTGGCGCCAAAGACGCTGCAGTTGAGCGAGGTCTTCTCCGAGAGCTTGGCGTTGTCCGCGACAATGATATCCTTGGTCTGTGTCGACTTGACCACAGCACCAGGTGCAATTAGCGGATGCGAGTCGCCGCATAGCTCCGTCCAAATGCCCGAGAGCTTGCGATTGATGGCCAGAAAACTGAGTGTCGTATTAACACGCACTCCAATCGCCTCCTTTGGCGCTTGCACTGCAAAGCAGCGCACGACGTCGCCGTGGTAGGGTATATGCGACAGGGATTGATTGAACAGCGAGGTCTGTGTCAGTTTCTGATCCAGCGCCGTGTGCGTTACATACTGCATATAAATGACATTTTGATTGCGGCTCACAAATGAAAAGAGTATCTTCAACTCACGTGCAAAATATTATCCTCATTCTTGGTGGCAACACCCACATCGGAGATAGTGTCCGGCAACGTTTTTGTCGAGCGCCTCGCATGCTGTTTGCGAATGAGATGTGGCAGAAACTCGCCTTTGAATGTTGAAATTTTCTCTTTCTGAATGAAATTAAATAATTGATCGTAAATTTAAATAATTTGAATAACAGATTTTTCTCTCTTCATACCCTGTGCAGATAGTTGATCACCCATTTCTTGAGCACATAGATGTGTGCATCCAGCAGTCGCCCATACACATCCAGTTGTCCCTTGTTCTTGAGCAGATGACGCTGAATGTTAAGCGTATCCTCACAGTCGCTGGCAGCAAAAACAAATGCCAAACGCTGTGTGGCCGTATGAATGCCAATCATATCACGCTCTGGCTTGTGCTTCGTCTTGGGACCGGGCATAATGACGTCCGACTCGAAGCCGCTCTTAAAGAGCAACATAGCCAGCGAAGCATCATCGGCACGAAACTTGTTGATCAGCGGATATAAGCTGACATTGGTAACGATATCACAGCTAACAACCAAGAAGTCCGATTTGATTCTGAAAGCGAATAGTACTAATTATATATTATGAATAAATAGTTAATATTAACTAGTTATACTTGTCGTATATGTAGCGCAGGCTGTCGGCTGTGCCAAAATCACTGTCACTTGGCACTGTCGCATAGTCGATTTTCACTTTAAGGTGCGTGTGCTCCAGTGCCACCTGTATCTCTAGTTTATCCTGTTCTTGCACCACAACAATTACCTCTGCAGAAAAAAATAACATAAGAACTTCACTAGATATTAATTATTATTTGCATTATTGATATTGATCACCTGTAAAGTTATGCCTGCTTAGCATATTGAGTGGATACCATATGAGAGGATATGGACCCACGGGCAGCAAACACTTGGGCGCATCGCCAAGCACTTCTGGCAGACGTGTGCCACGGCCCGCAGCTAAAACTACAGCTTGAAATTCGGAATTTGTCATTTTTTATGCCAGCACAATTATCAAGAGTATTTTAAATTGCCAACACGCTTGACCGACGACGAAACAGCTGTTCGAGCAGCTCTTGGCGTTAGCCAACACTGTTGCCCATGGGACATATGTTGCTGTCACATGACTGCATTTGCATTGTTTTTGCAATTGTATAAATCTAGTCAGATGACCCATTTTCTCCATTGAGACTCCCATAATTTTATGCACTTTTCAGCAGAAATTACAACACTTTTAGAACAACAAAAGACTTTAATGTATGATTTGAGCGCTACATAACTACAAAATTGGAATACATACATTTTTCTTATTGGAATTAGACTATATACTTTAAGCTTACAAAGGTTGCAGTAGCTACATTTTACATACAATAAGTTTTTGTTTGGGGTTTTCTTTTGCGGTTGAAAAATGGAAACAGAACAAATATTTTTTCTTGAAGTTTAACAATAACATATTGCTGGAATACACACACACGTAGACACGTATGGGATTAATACTTAGAAGAGAACATCATCATCGCCCTCATCGAGTATGTTCGTCTGCTGACGAACATCGATGCCCTGTTCAAGAAGCTCTGCTTTCTTGGCATCTGCCTTCTGACGGGCCTCACGCTTCTTGTCCTGAATCTTCTTCAAGCGGTAGAACTCCTCACGCTCAAGCTCATCCAGCTCCGAGATGATGTACGCCAATGTACGATCGATACGAGGTATGATGACATGCTCAATGGCATTGACACGACGATTCGTGATCTTGATGACCTCGTCGAGGGTGACGAAGGAGGTCTGGAGTGAAGCCAGTTCAACGAGCAGCTTGACGGCGCTCTGGTAGTTCTTCTTTAATTTGGCCAGCTGTTGACCACCACGGGCCAGACCAGCCAGCTCATAAGTATCAGCGCCATCCTGATAAGACTCGAACACGGGCAGCGTAACACCAGCGACGTTGTCTTTCTTGGTACGTATCTTGATTTGGGCTTTGGTCACGTTTTGCAGCACCACCTGATTGATGTCGCCCGATGTGAACTTGGCTTCGGCCAACGAGAAGGCGGCCTCTTTCATAACATCGCCCATCAAAGTTTTCGTCTCGATGATTTTGCCAAGAATCATACGGAAGCGCATTTGCAATGCATCAGCTTTTTTCTTCAACAGCCCATGACCTTTCTGAGCACCCGCAAGACGGGCCTTCATTAACATTTGGGCGCCACGAGACGGGAAAATCGGTAATCTATCTTTTCCAGACATTTTCGTATAATTTTAATATTTGTACAGGGTTATTAGCTCGATTTTTTTACTGCGCACCACAAATTTTAACACACCCGTCGAAGAACACTGAAAAACTCCAACTGGACTGGATAAACACAGTGCTGACTAAGCCTCAGAAAGTGAGGTGTTGGACAATACATTGTAGAAGCAGTAATGCAAAATGTTAAAGAAAAATACCTTTGTTCTATAATTACAACATGTTAAACTGTAACATAAGTTAGAATTTATTTGTAAAACAACTATGTTAATTAATTTTAGTTATTGCTTTACGCATTTTATATAGTGGCCCCAGTATCGAAAAAGTAGTACTGCACAGTGGCATGTAGCATTAGTGTTGAGTAACATCTCATAGAAACAGCTGTTTAGTAAACATCTGTAAACAAAGCAGTGGCTCTAGCGGCATATTTATAAATAATGCAAATTTTGCAACGTTTGTTTTGGTCATCACCAAAAACAATACAAACATACTGCCGTAACTACGCCAAAAAACCAAAGGGGGCCATGGCACACAACCGACGCATGGTGCACAAGGAATTGCTGCGTTATGTAAACCCATATGCATGCATTAATATCAAATCGGATATCGCCATCCATGTGGAGCCCGCCGATGTCCATGTGTATACCAGTGGAGATGTAATTATAGCCCAGCTAACTGGTGGTCCTGTGTCCAACTCAAATGTCGATCTGAATATGGATGTTGAAGACGGCGACAAGGTTGTCAATGTCTTGGTTAAAAAGCTAAACGAACAGAAGTCGCATTTTAAATGCCTTCTAAAGATTCCCGTGCGTGCCGACGTCAACCTGGAAGCAAAAGAAAAAGTAACCATACAGGGCATACAAGGCGAGGTACTTAAGATCAAGGCAGCTGGAGATATATTCACCAGGAATGTACGAGCCACAGAAATATCGCTGAACAGCGAAAATGGCAACATCATCTGTGAGGGAACGCTGCTGGGCAAGAGCACCGAAATCGAAACACAGAACGGAGTAAGTAGCTAAGATAGCCAGTGTCAACAATATAATTTATGTATTGCTGCTCAGAACATCAATCTGGACAAGCTGCAGGGTGACAGCCTAAAGTGCTCCACACAGGCAGGTGACATCAATACGGACTGCTGCTACGTAGAGAAATCAAAGTTTGAGACAACAACGGGCAGCATGGAGCTAAAGAATGTGCACAAAACTAGCGAAGTATATGTTCACCAAGCGGGTGATCTGAAGATGAGTGAGTATGGACATTTTCTTATCCATGAAATAATTCAGAAAATCTCTCTTTTCTAGCTGGCGTCCATGGAAACCTGAACGTGTTCTCTAAAGGCGGCAGCATGAATCTCCAGCTCTCTGAGCTAAATGGCAAAAGTGAGATTGTGGCACAGAATCTTATTGACGAGGCCATAATCAATATATCCGAGGCAATAGAGAACATAAATATAGAAGTTAAAGCCAGTCAGGTTAACCTAAACAACGAGCTGGACCATGTCTCCCATGCATTGAGCGAAGACAAAAGCAAGTTTTTACTAAACAATGAGAATGATCATCATCTGGTCATTAGCACCACAGGAGAGAATGGAGTGCGCCTTGGCAAGCAATCGTGGACCGATATGCTGAGGCAAAAAATGAAATCGAATAAATAAATTTAAGATATTACAAATATTTATAGTATCTTTCATTATGAATGTATGTACGTATGTATGCTCGTATGTATGTATATAAGTAGTTATAAGTATAAGAAATATGTATTAATATGTATGTATTGTGCATTCATGCAACAATTTTTCAGTCCTGTTTTTATGAGTATTATTTGGCTTTGCCAGCTACTTCGTTTAAAACCACGCCAAGGCGCTGATGTGCCCTCTGAATCAGTACATCATCCACCTGTTCCGTCTGCAAGGCAGCTCGAAACATATCCACTTTCATAGCATCAATTTCTTGTATATCCCTAACTAGAATTGGAACATCCGCGCGGACGAACATGTGCGCCAATAGGCGCAACACTTTAAAAGCGTTTTCCTCGTACTGTGAACGAGGCTCATCCTCGTAAGCTTCAAAATCATTTTCATCGTATTCGGTATAGTCTTCAATATGCTGACGTAAAGTTGTCCACACGCCAAGTAAATTGGCAAAGGCAGCCTTGTCATAGAAATATTTAAGACACTGTAAAAGTAATTAGTTTTTAATTTAAAGATTTTTATTATTTGTATGTATTTAGCTTACGCTGCATATATGCGCTAGGTCCTCCAAATACTCCTCCTGCCGCTCGCCCAGTGGCAACAGCTGATTGGGCTGCTGCAGGAACAGTAAGATGCGGGTCAAACAAAACATAATGCTGGGTGTATACACATCCATGGACATCTGCGCCTCCGGCAGCTGCACCAGTATCGTGCATATATTGAGGTAGGTTTGAATTACTTCGATGTCGCAGTTTATTTTTGGTGTACTCATCTCGTCCCCATCATCGTCAATACCATTTGGATCGACGGTGATGGGTGCCTGATCGGTAACGATTCCATCCACTTCATCCGCCTGCTTTGCCAAATCATCACGCATTAGACGAATAAAAGCATTATTAACGCCCTCGCAAAGCTCCTGTACTAAAAATACTTCCGAGAAGGGCTTTAACTTGAGATCCGGCGTCTGGGCGTTCTCCTCCTCGACCAGGGCACAGCTTGCCAGCACAGCATTAATGGCTTTAAGAGCGGCCAAAAGGAGCTCATCGCTCACTGACTGCTGCAGTATAAAGCCGAGATTCTTTGCTGAGCCCTCGAAGGCGGCAAAGCAAATGTACCACTCAATGGCCAGTTGCTCCTTGCCACTGACCACATGTGCCATCACATATTGATATACACGCATCAACTGGATCAGCATGCTCGTATCCATGCAGGTGCTTAGCTTCAGCAGCATTTCAATCCAATCAGCGCGTGCCGTCAGCTGCTCCACACACTCCACTTGCGCGCACATGTTCCCCAGCAGTCCAATGAGAATCTCATACAGACGCACATCCTCGCTGGAGGAGATGGCAAACATAATTAGCTCAATGGCATCATTCTCGAGTAGCAGAGCAACTACTTCCGGGGAGACAGACATATCCCACACCTTGCACAAATCATCCTCTAACTCCAACTCCAATGCTGTATGTGGTAGCTGCTGGCTGAGTTGCATCAATGTCTGTAATATAAATTTCTTGCTGAACATTGTCTCGCCAACAGCATCACCACGCATGCGCATTAACAGCTCGTTCTCATCAGCATCCGAAGCATCATCCTCATTGTTTTGAATTCCGTGGGGTTGGGGCGAATTCGACTCCGATTTATTTTCACCATTTCCAGTGCCGTTTGTCTCCGATGCAACAGCCTCGTTTGATTTAGTCTCCATCCGAATTAGACCGTTTGTCTCGTTATTAACGGTAACAGCACCAATATTATTATCTCTTTCCGCACTATCCACATCTTTGGTCATTTTGGCTGGTGTCTGGTGTCTGGGCTCCGAAATAAGTTCGATCGAGTGGTTCACAAAAGCGGAACTGAAATGAACAAAGCTGTTTGCAACCAATTCGATAAATTTAACATTTTCTGTTAACTTTCAAAAGCTTGGAGTGCATTAACAGACGGCGATTTGTCCATACAATTTTTCAATTGTAATGCCAATTATAACTTAAAATTCTTATAATATTGCTATCCTATTTCATTTTAAGCTCGAGTCTAAAAGTTGTAGCAGCTTTGATCTGAGCCAGGCAATACTATTAAATAAGTTTTTAAATTTTTTTAAATAGGTTTTTATTCTAAACGCTGTCTTTTAATAAACACATCCAGCAAATGAGAAATGGGAATATCTGCAGAAGTTGGCGGTTGCGGAGGCGCAATATTATTGCGATGCTGTGGAAATGTGGGCATCATGCGCGGATCACAAGCTACACAAAATAGAAAAGAATTTATTAAAAATAAGTTGTAATATATATACAAACTCGGCTTACGCTGTGGCGGCTCAGTGAAATATTTACTGTTCAAGCAGTCTTCGGCTGTGCCTCGCGTGCTGGGATTGTAGATGAATAGCGAGTTTAGCAGGCTTCTGCCCGCTGGACCAATCATTTGGAATTTTGTTTTTAAGTTATTGTACGGCTGTTGGCTAAACGTAAAGTTCTGTACGGCAGGCAAATCTTTATAGCCGGGCCAAATCGATTCCGATGGAGCGCCAAGCAGGTCAATAATCATGTCCAGCTGTGCAATTTCCGAGGTGCCCGGCAGTAGCGGCTTTCCTAATAACAGCTCTCCCAGAATGCAACCGAAAGCCCACATATCAATCGACGTTGTATGAGTTCTAGAGCCCAGCAACAGCTCCGGTGCACGATACCAAAGGGTGACCATTTGTGGGGTCATTGGCTTTGGGGGGTCGCCAAACAAGCGAGCGAGGCCAAAATCAGCTGAAATTGAGATTGTGTTTATATATGATGTGTGACGAAGTTCAGCCCATACTTACCCACTTTGATGCAGCCTTTGTCCGTCATTAGTAGGTTGGAGACCTTCAGATCTCGATGTATAATATAACGTTCATGCATATACTTCAAGGCGCGCAGCACCTGCAGCGTTATGCACTTCACCTCCGATTCCGTAAATGGCTGTGACATATTATCCAGCACCGAGGCCAGATCCTGCTCACAGAAATCCATTACCAAGAAGATGCTAAGCGAGAGAATATTACAATTTACATAAATCTCTCAAAATCGTCTCTTCCTCTTACCTGTCCAGACTTTTGCCCACCACAACTTCTCGCAATCGTACAATATTCTCGTGCTGACAACGCTTTAGTATCATAATCTCACGCAGTCCACTTACAGGCAAGCCATCCTTTTCCTGGTCCATGCGGACTCTCTTCAGAGCCACAATTTCTCCACTGCGAGTGTCGCGCGCTCGATCTAAACAAAAGAGATTCAGTAATGATGCGAGTACAATTGATTGAGCTATGCACTTACATACAATACCATAGCTGCCCTCGCCCACGCGGTTGAGCTTCTCGAATTCGGATACTGGACGGCAACGGCCATACTGAACAAAAATATTGATAAGGGAATAGAAAAAGCCGGCACATGACAAAATGCTCATTTAATACAAACCACATTTTGTTCCGGTATGGGCATGGGCGTGCCGCTGTTCTTGAGTGATATTAGAAAACCTTTGCGGGTTATTGGTGCTTGAGGATCTGGCGCAGGATTTGTATCCAATTCATTTGACTTCTTGTCGCTGGACATGTTTATTTTGTTTTAGAATGGTTGAACGACATAAACATAAAACATAAACAGCTCAGAAAGAATCGATACTTTCTCAATTACTGCAAGAACTGTGCTGCAGAAACCAGGGATACAAGCACAAAAATGTTATCAAAGTGCGCAAAATGTAGAGAATTTGAAATGTTGCTGGTACTTTTGGTCATTGTGAAAATAGTAAATATATTTTATATTTAAATATATTTTTGCACATACTAATTATGTGAAAAAAAAAAAAAACAAGAAAACAGAAACTGCGTATGCATTTCATAATATTCACTAATTTATAGATAAGCATAAAAACAAAAGTAGCAATAGAAAATATAAAGCACGATTTATGGAAAGTGAAATTCCGCCAGTTTAAAGAAATTTCGTTAGCATTTCATTTCAAATGCATGCTCTAGACATTAAGAAAAAATAATAAAAAAAATATAAAAAAAAAAACGGACCCTGCTCGTCATCATCTACCAGCTACGCATGTGTTAAAAGCTGTTGGATAAAGCCACAATGACTCCACTATCAATTATCACCCTGAACTTGGGATAAGCAACAACAGTAAAGCGAATGGGCAGAGGTATATAAATGTTGGACCTGGCGTAGAGTGCATCATCAGTTCTGCAGCAACTGTGCAAGTGATACAGTGATATACCCAAACACAGGAATATTAACTCAAGAAAATAATGAATAAAACAACGATATGGTATGCGGCGGTGCTGCTTGTGATCTATTTCACTTTGGTGTTCTGCGATGAAACGCCGGAAAATGCTGAGACTCAAGTAATGAATACGAACACGGATATGGATATGGAAACATTACTTAATACTGGCCGAGAGCTTTTGGAATTCGAAGGACGCACACGTCGTCATCGCCATCGCCTATGGTGTAAGTTTCTACGATACAATTATTACTATGTAAATACCGGGTGCCTGTAATTGGACAGCATCGATTCTGGTGTCAATTGCAGTCTATCGATATATTGCATTTATTATTACTATGCAATAGTTGAGCGGTAACAATTAGCACATTTTAAATATGTTTAATCACATTCTAAGCTATTTGGTTGTCCACCTGCTAATCAGCAAGTGAAGACTTTCTTTTTGAAAGTTTCCCAGCCCAGTCAGTGGGCCGGTCATATGTATATCACTTCCAATTGGAACATCACGATGTGCACGTACCGTTCAATAATAATCAATTAACACTTTTCACTTTCAATCGACGCCACAATTCGACAATTGTAAATTGTCGTAGATCAGTAGACCAGCATTGGGTTCTGTTCGTGTTCAGTGAAAGTGTTGTCTTATCTGTTATCTAATCAGATTTGATTTTCATTTATAGTTCGCCATCTGTGGCCATTGGCAATTGCCTATTGGATCAAGGTGAAAGTAGTCATCGTGTCTTTCTTTGTGGGTAGCGCCATTTATTTGGGTCTGCGCTACTTCTGGCCCCACGCCCGATGCAATCAGGAGGTGATTCTTGATCATCCGTAAGCACTGAATCTTCCAATCATTTTATCTATATTAAATTATTTTTGTGTTCAGCCCTCCATCCTTTACCCAAGATCATATTCCATACTCTCTTGAACATCATCATGAGCATGAGCATGAGCATTATGGATCACCTTCCTCGTACGACTCGAGTCCCTCTTTTGACCCCTACTCGGGCTACTCCAGCTACTCGGGTTACTCTTCCAACTCCGATATTGTGTCTGATATACACAGCGATTCTCCACTGAGTTCTGCACCAAGTGGGCCGACTGGACCCGCTGATGGTTCTAATACGCTTCGCCGCGGCAGACGCAGCGTTGATAGCTTCGATGTGGAGGATAATGTGGAAGTTGATCAGGAGGATCATGTGGAGATTATTGATGAGGAGATCTCTGAGAGTGTTGCACGCCAGCAGCCCGCCGAAGAACAGTGAGCAGCAGTTGAAGATCATCTAATCCAATTTAGTTATAAGCTTTATTTCTTTTATAGAATCGCCGAGTTTATGTTCGCATTTTTGGGTCTGGACTCCAAGGCTTGCCGTCGTCGCTTCGTCTGCGAGATGGAGTTCCGCTCAAAGCTGAATCCGCTGACCAGCATGGCATTCCGCATTGTTGGCCGCGGCTTCTTCGAGAAGTACACCAATTCACGCAATCCATATAAGCGAGCTACCAACTTCCAGGAGTGCGCCGCAGTGAATCCCGACTGTGTGTTCGTGGAGAGCGCAGAGCCAGAGGTTACACCAGCTGCTGAAGAGGAAGAATCCACAGAAGCCAGCGAATCAACCAATCAGGAAAGCACGGCAGAGGCTCAAAATGAAATCAACTTGCAGGCCGAACGTCGCCTGACGCAGCTGAAGCGTCGTCGCGGAGATCGAATGCTCCGCCCCATTGCCGAACACATTTTGACACAGTAGAACTCCAATTACTATTTATTTATTTTATTTATTTAATTATTTATTTTAGCTATAAGAATGATGAACAAAATAAACTTGCCTCAGCTTTAAAAAAAAAAAAAACAACTACCGTTATTTGTTCCGGAAAATGCAATCAAACAAATGCTAAATTTGTAACTCAGGTCCGAAAATCTCAGGAGCGAAATTAAATAGAAAACAAAAAGAAAGGAAAAGAAAAGGAATAGATGAAAACCGAATACCGATGCTGACTAAAATTTGTAAGGGCTAATTTAAGTCTTTTTGACCTTTTTCTTTTTAATTGCATTTATCTGATCGGCCATCTGCTCGATCTCTCGCTGATTGATGGGCTCGTTTTTGCGGACGGCCGCCTTTCCCTTCTGCCTTTGGGCGATATCTGCGACGATGTCGTTCAGCTTGCTCCACACAAAGCTGAGGAAATTCACAGGCAGGTCCTGTTTGAAGAAGGCAATGGCCACCAGTGCAATGAGCACCAGTGCTGATATGGAATTCTGATTGAGATCAGCGTCAGTGGAGCGCACCTCGGCATTGAAATCCAGCTTCACATAGACGGAACATCTGTCCGCCACAAAGGTGAAGGAGGGCAGCTTGTAGGAGTACGTCTTCTCCGAGAGCGTCGATTGCAGTTCCACCACATAGGTCTTGCCATCGCGCGGTATACGCGGGAAATACACCATAATGCCCGGATTGTAGCTAGACTTGGGATTTAACGGAGACGCCACGCGCTGAGAAAACACCGGCGAGTCGGAAGCTCCTTGCTTGTACATCACAATGCGCAACGTCTTGTAGAAATCGTTATGTGAGGCCATAATTCTGGCCGTAATATCCACAATTTTGATAGGATTAACA